TCCAGCTGATCGTGTTCGAGGCCATTCGGTCTCGTTTGACCGTCTTTCTCTCTACTCACCTTTCCTCGGCTTCGAAAAGCGCTATGCCTTTAGCGAGCTAGAGCTAAACATGTACTGGATGGGTAGTTCGGTCAGTTCAGTTGCACAGTCAATGGCAAATAAGCGACTTGCTTTCACTGTCATCGTTCTTCGCTACCGGCGTGATTTTAGTTTGGAAATAAGCAGGTGATATCAGGGATGAGCGGAAATCTGTACTCTATTCTTGTCGGCGGTTTCGCAAAGCTTTCACATTTCCACTTGTAATACTGGATATGCTGCTGAACATTCGTAGCGAAAACACGCTGTTTTTCACTTCTGGATGATTCCGATTGTTCCGATTTCCGGTTTTCGTGAACTCACCTTGCTTTCTCAGGATGTACCAATCACAGATCTGTTGGTTATCCATTAGTGGGAATTCAGTTTCCTACTTCTTTGTTTTTACTTTATTTTGGTTCGCATTATGCTCCCTACCATTTTCTTCCTGATAAGGTCTTGTACATGTTTTGATTTTCGGGGCAAGGTTTCAAAGGACGCATTTTTGGGATACTCCAAGTTTCCTGGATTTGCCTTCGTGAAATATGCGGCTGTTTCTATCAGTGGATTCCTTCTTTGAGGAACTCTCTTCTTTCTATATGTCCATGCTAATTTTTCAATTTTTTTTACCAAAAACAAATTGATCGATTTCTAGACGGATTGCGCCGTGTTTGGTCAACTGGCTGTCACCTACTATCTACCATATCGGCAACTGATCACAGATCTACTTGATGACGAGTTTCCACGAGTACGACATTACGTGCAAAGGATTCGCAATCACTACTATCCGGAATGGAAGGAAGAGTGACGAAGCTCATCCTACTTCCTATGAATACATGGATTTGTGCACTGCTGTTTCCGATATGCGTATCTCATACAGCGATAGGCAATCTTATAGCTTACAGTTTCCGATTTCACCCAGTTTTGTGCATTTGTATACAGTTTCTGCTCATCCCTGATATCTAGTTGTTTCTCAGAACGAATTTATCTTCAAATTTGGTCCTAAAGGCAGTGATCACATGGCTGAAGAGTGTTGATGAAATCATTGAATATCATTGGTAGAGGAGTGCTAAGAATCGGTCTCAACTACCCCCTCAGGGCTCTGAGAGGTCTAACCCTCTAAAGACGTCCAGTGATGCCATCAAAACCGTGCCGCTGTGCAACGATCGTGATTACTGTCTTTAAAGTGGTTGGCTTTTCACAATCTTGAGAAAATTCCACTTTGAAGGAGAATAATTCAGGGTGGCTGTTTGTACTTTCACCCCTTTCATGGATAATAAGCTCTCAGATGAGCTACGACCAATAAGGTTTCCTCATGAACTTATTCTTGAGAAAGACTGTTAGGTAAAACTTTCGTACTGCCAAATTGGATAGTTAGGTGCTGTCTATAGTGTTTATTTTACAGGTAATCTCTGCTTTTATGAACATTTTCTAACATAAACATGTTCTCAGCGATGTTAAGTATTTCTTTCAAATAAAGTGTATAAAGTCAAAGTGAGCTGGATGTCCTAGAATTATGTCCGCATTCTCGCTATTCTTATAGGCGACAAATGTAAAATGAAAGCGTGCGGTTGCGTTTGTATGTGTGGAACTGATGGTGGCGAAAACACTTGTTGAGAATTCCGCAGTTGCCTTCAGCACAACGAAAATGAGTCATATTTGGGGAAAATATTAACCCATTCGTGACAATGGCAGCTACCGGTGGCTGCCAGAGATCACACTCAGGGCAATGGTATCCACCGGTGGTTGCCGGTTCCAAATGAAATTGGGAGTTTTCTCCCTCGAAAAGAATCTTTATACCGTCATTCATCTAAAGCCAGCCTGGGCTGGGGAAATCTCTCCAAATTTGTTGAAGAAAAATCTCCTAACTTCCTTGTTATTGCGCGAACTGGCTAAAGACCAATTTGTCCTGTCAGCGTCCTCAGGTAAGGGGTGAAGACCTGGAACGATGAACACCACCAGGTCGGTACCCTGACATTCATGACCCAGTAGAAACCCGAAACCCAGTCGATGCGAAACAACAAGCACAATGCAGTGGTAGTGTATTTTCATGAGTTTCGTGGAAGATATAATGCGTAGTAAGTGGTGATACCTATAGCCGTTTTTAGGTAGTGAAGCCATCCTGTAGAATTAAGGTGATTTTAAGCAAAACCTTCTGCGGAATTCGTCCGGAAATTGCTCTCAAGCTTTTTTTTTGACAGATTGAGAGTGAGTGTGGGTTTCTTGAATGCTTCTGCCATTATTCGGAATTGTCAAACTTCATTTATAATTATATATTTATTCTAACTAGTTCAAAATCTATAACAGCAATGGTTGACGTTTGTTTCGCCATGCTGGTTGTATGGTGACTGATGGTGCGTGTAGGCGTTTCCATTCTGCGAATTCCCTCTGAAAAAGGTTGGTTTATTCCACATACATGGTGACTTGAAGGCACGGGTCGGGATCGAATTAGTGTGCTGTTTTGTTTGAAAACTAGACAATAAGCGCGAGGAATCACTCAAGCGCTCAGTATAGTCGGCGGGTTGACTCGACATATTTCTCCTCCGTTGAGAGAGCGCAGAGAAAACGAATAGTGGGAGGCGAGCACACACTTCAGCGCGTCAATGCGTCGCGCACTTGCACGTGACTACTACAGCAGGAACGTCATAATGCACGCTCCCTCGGTGCTCACCGTGTCCAAACGGCTTAAGTCACTCAAGCGCTGTTCAGAGGGGGGGGGGGGCAAATGCGCAGAAAGCACGTTGCACATGGCAGGACGGAAACGCCAGGTATACCATGAATGGTAAGCATGGCGGCACACAAGGGAGGACCTCGGCGGCTTTGCCGCGCGCTTTCGAGTCGCTGCTTCTATGCTTGGGGACCATTCTTTCTACTCGAAGAGGGGCTAGCCCTTGCACTGCGCCGCCGTTCACCTGACTTAGCAAGTAGCACACTGGCCTCAAAACTTGAATAAACGGCCACTTTGCCATGACCATTTTATGTTCGGGATTTATCTATTCACGCTGTGTTAAAATTTCAATGTTGACGTGCTCGTCGAATTTATCCAACATGTGAGACAAAATATATTGCCTTAGGTCTCAATCTGGAGTGCGCCACGCCTGCGACTTGTATAGTGATTGCTTCCGAAGTCAAACTCACCTATACAGTGCCTGGCGTGGACCAGCTCCTATATGAGTTACTTTTCAGGATTTTGAACATGATCTGTCAAAAAGCTGGCCTGTAGGCGGTCGAAGAAGGCCATCGAGTTCAATTTTGATGAGGGACTTTTGAGTAATCACATCAAGTAATATCTCCTCGCTGTTTATTATTTAATATGTGTTGAATACACAGATACATAATGGCATATGTATTATGCGTTAACCATGCTCTAAAAAGTTGGGTCGGGCCCAAAAGTCGCGCCGGGGCATCCGCTGGTGGCAAGCTAATGTCTGTAAGAGTTTGTGGAACCTTACCCAAGCTTCTTCTTGTATTTTTTCTATTGTTTCATTAGATAGCTTCCTGGCCATTAACTCGGATTTCCATAGAGGTAGAGTCGGTGATGAATTCTAAATGTCTATTTTTATATTAGCTAATAAGATTGATCGTACAAATCTTACACGCTTTGTTTTCCATTGTACCTCATCATATTTATTTATTTTATTTATTTATTTTTTTTATTCTTGCGTTTGCCTTATACACAACGTTATAAATAAATAAATAAATAAATAATAAATAATAAATAAATAAATATAATAAAACATAATCCCTATAATGTAGAAACAGTGGGTTTTTTGAAAGTTGAGCGAAGTTTTATACTTCATCAATTTTGCGAAATTTGGAATACGCAGTAGTTGTCCTTGCTGGGTATAAGGAGGAGGGGGAGGGAGAGGCCATTCCACTGCAACAGTTTCGGTAAAAGTCAATCCAGTGGAATCCCTGCCAAAGGAAGAGCCCAAACCATTTGTTTACCACATTTCGAAGTGAACTGAGAGGACTGAACGTTAATTTGTCTTTTCGAAAAAACGAAGGTCGCATACGGTAAAATGAGTGTTAAAAATTTTGAAAAAAAAAATCCTTTCCGCGCGGACTGGAGTTTATGGAGGGCAGTGTTGCAGGACTAGTAATAGGTAATCAGGACGGCTTGTATGCGGGATCCCCTCGCGGTAGGGGAGGAAGTCGTATGTTGTATAAGTCGTACGAACCTTGAGGTTTGCCACAGACAGTGAACTACCCTAGTTAGAGAAGTGGCTTCCAGCTCCGAGCTCAGTTAGATATCAATTGGAGAATTGAACAAAGCAGGTTTCTGCAACTTTCGACGTTATCATGATAAATATTCTTAAGGTTAATTACTGTATTTTTCCATCTCAAATTACTTACTGCTTTTGAGTAAATTTAATGGCTAAGTAACTAGCATTATGGTTCCTTTGAGAGTTTATCAAAAAAGTTTATGAAGATGCCAAGTCAAGGCGCTTTGTCAGTGCTGCTGCGCAACCGCTCGCGACTAGTAGTAGTGAATTTCATAGAAACAATTCATAGCCTCCACTGATTATGTTGATTTTTGAAGTGAACAACACTCTAGATATTCCAGAGTTTTTCTACTTTGAAAGAAAAAATTAGATACCATTCTTCGCTTGAAATATTCTGGAGTGTAGAGTCGAACGGCTTCATCAACTTTACGCTCAGTCTGAAGAGGATACGATAGAGATCGAATGTGGAGGAAGAACACGAAAGGCTTCTGGTCCTACCTCCCTATATTTTTCTTCGACCATCAACTTTCTGCGTTCGTTTCCATCCGCCACATAACTAATGAAAAATGCAATGATTTTAAAACATTCAAATTTTCACTGAAGAAAAAAGTATTGGTTTGACATCTCACTTAAATGCAGCTGGTGCGATGGCTGAGAGGGCAGGGCGGTTTTGATGACGTCATTGGGCGTCATCGGTGGCAGGACGGTATTAGGTGTGATTGGAGCCACCTCTCAATTCCTTTTCACCGACGATGTCCAATGACGTCATTAAACCGCTCCGCCTCTTAGTCTCTTCTTCCACGACCTTCACCAACTTTTGAATATTTCGATTACGATTTAGCTCTTTTACTGTTACTGGCGCCCTACTGGGATAAATTTTACCTTTGCGATTGGCGAACGGGTGATGTTGGTACATTACGTCTTAATTGAACAGTTATAGGTGAAGTTGATCTTGCCGAACTTCCTCTTCTTAGACGAAAATTAGATGTCACTGAAAAACTTTGCTTAAGTGAGATGGAACCGTTTTTCAAAGGATAAAAGGATAAAGGATAAAGCAGTTGCGCCGATCAATCCCTTCTTGGGATGCGACACGCATTCCACTTCCATTTGTATTTCGTAGTGGCGC